AGAAAAAAAAAAAAAAAAGAACTCATAACTAGCTAGTAAATAGTAACAATTGGATGTGATCTGTTTTGTACTTATTATTTGGTGTAAAAAAAAAAATCGTTTCAAAAAATTAATCACAATATCTGATCATGTTAAGTAGCCTAAACGAAGGAATATTGTGTAGGGTTAAGCTATGATGAAACAAGACAACACTGAAGAAAAAGTGCAATAAGTATATTTTTTCCCCTCAACATTTATAATTTATTTCTTATAATTGACAAGCATATATTTATATATACCACACCAAATGCTATCATCAAAAACAAAAACAAAAAACAAAAAAATCCAAGTCTTCACCATGCACAAACGCCAAATCAATCAACAATAATTAATTGTTGATTGGGAAAAAAAAAAAACAGAGAGAGAGAGAGAGAGAACATATATTATATATACCGGGTAAGTCCCAAGGCTCACACTTGTAGAGATCAACCTCAGGGATGATCTCCAAATCAATCTTACGACCATTGATCTTCCTCTTGAGATAGTAAGCTACCAGCTCCTCATCTGTAGGGTGGAACCTAAAACCAGGTGGCAGTGAAACTGGAGCCATTTTATAATCTCTTATTAATTTCTCTCACTAACTACTCTTGATCTCTCTCTCTCTCTCTTTCTCTCTCCTAATAAGCTTCTTTCTAAGCAATACTCAAGGAAGAAAACAAAGTTCTCGACCCTAAAACTCTCAACAAACGTCAAGAATTAACCTTGTTTTGATCATGAGAGTTACAAAAAAAAAAAAAAAAAAAAAAAGAAGAGGTATGAACTTTGATATTGAATTATGATGATCAGAACTGCTTTCTTTATGTTATATGTTGATATACGTGCATGTAATTAGTTGGAGGCTACAGAAAGAGATCGGCTAGATGGGACAGAATTTCAAGAAGGACCTGATGCAAACAAAACTGAAAGAGAGAGAAAGAGAAAGAGAGAGAAAGGAAAAGAGAAAATTGGAGGAGTGAGAATATTATTGTTGGGGGTGGATATGTATTGGTTGGGGGGTTCTGTTAAGTATAAGAAGACAAAAAAAAAAAAAAAAAAAAAAAAAAAAAAAAGAAAAAAAAATTTAAAAAAATTTCAAAAAAGGTGCCACCCCCACCACCTCCCTTTTATTTATTTTTCCCTTTTTCACCTTTCACTTTTTCAAATGTTTTTCTTTCTTTTTTTTTTTTTTGGTTATCTATTATTTATTTGTCAAAAACAACAGTCCATTGATGAATGATTGTCACGTTCATTTCGCTGATTCGAGTTTAAAATTTGAGTTTTGTTATAGTAAAAAGTTCTCACAAACAATCACATCTAATTTTTTTACTTCAGTAAAAAGCTCTAACATAAAATCACATCTCAACTCGAATTAAAAACTCGAATCAGAGAACTAAACGGGCCTGATATATATTAATATTATTCTTCTTCTCGTTCCTCTCAAGCCTTGTTCTCATGCAACAAGCAAAAAAGCCTTGTTTTCATCATGTTATCAATCTCAGAGCTCTCTCTACACCAATTATCCCATGCTTCGTTCTTGTCCTTTCTTGGAATCTGGGGTCTACGTGGAGATCAAGGATTGGTTGACATAACCGCCTCCCTTTATGGATTGGAGGATCTCACGTTAACGAGAAACTGTGGAAAAAGAATTTCGGCGGCGTTGCTGACTGGAGAATGAATGTCGCTTTCCTCATCATATTATTCGCTCTCCTTTTCTCTCTTAATTTCCCACTTCAAAGTCGCTAATTAGTCCATTTCTCTTTCGGCTTTTCATCAATAGGCCTCAACGATATGCAATTATTTCATTTTAACTCTAAAGATTTGTTAAAGATCCAGCTATTGATCTCACATTTATAGAATAAAAAGTTTTCGTCATTCTATTAAAATACTGTTTATAGCACAATAATGGCATCTAATTAGAGTTTTAAGTGCGATAAAAGTGAATATCTAGAGGGGTCAAAATAATACAAGCAATGCATATCCTTAGAAATTAATAGTGAAAATAACTCTTTCATTCACTTTTATTGTCCGATAATTGCTTATTATGGAATTTTACTCTAATCTCTCCCCACTTTTATTTGTTAGTTTATCAATCCATCTCAAAAGCTTAAGCTATTAGGAGATGGGTCAACAATAGTTTTATATTTTAACACTCTCCCTCACTCACGTGTGGGCTAGACAATGGGCAATCATATGAGTAAATTAATTGAAAAGCCCAACAAGTGAATATTTAAGTCCGAGATATATTAAAAACCCAACACATGACAATTTAAAATGTGGATAAAGAGTGCAATTACGGGGGTTTGAACTCAGAACTTTCCGCTCTGACACCATGTTAGTTTATCAATCCATCCTAAAAACTTAAGCTATTAAGAGGTGGGCCAACAATCGGTGAACCTCCCGCTCTGACACCATCCAATATTATTTTCTATATAATTTTTTGGCATTCATTTAACTTTTATGATGATTCCAATTCTAAACTGTAAGGTTTTAATTAAATTTTGAATTTGGTATGATTATAATGTAGTCAAATGATTCACAACTATATTTTACTAATAGGACTTTTTTTTCATATTATAGCTTGTCATAGAATTCTCCCAACTTTTATCATCATGGATGCAGAAAATCTTGGTTGGTCATGAAAAAGTAGTACCAAAAAGGCTCGATTTTCGTCAATCGGTGCAACCAGTTTTGGAAGTCGAAGGTCTGGGACAAAAAGAAGGTGCACGATGAGGAGAGATCTAGGACAATGAGCTGCTATGCGTGTGACGAGGTGATCTGGGACGAATTATTGATCTACGTACGATGAAGATTGAGGAGAAAGGGGCCGACAACGCTTACTCTGTCCAAATTTGATCAATTTTTATTCCCATGACCGAGGATGGGTGAGAACACATTACCAACAATATATTGTCCATTAAATGGGCAGTCCGGTTAACCGATTGACGAGGTCAGTTGTGATGTGACATAAATCCATTAGGGTGCGTTTGATTGGTAAATTTGTGTCATAATTTGAATCATGATTCGTGGTTCGTTACAGTATTTTCTCTCACAAAAAACACACGTAAACCGAAAATAATTTTGAATTCATAAACTAAACGTCTACAGTATTTGACGACCATTTTTTGCAGTATCCAACTGTCGGTGTTGGTTGACCGAGTTTTGGGAACAGCCCTACCAAGCATTATTCTTTTTCAAAAGTATAACATATAAGACATTTTTTTTTAACTTCCTACCAGGCATTTTTACTTATATTATATCATAGTCTAGGAGTTCATCTCCATTCATCACCCTCCAATTCTTTGGCCCAATGCCAAAACCGATCAAAAATGGGATTTTATTAGCATATCAAATCTAATGGATTGACTTGATGTCTTCAATTAATTCAGCAAATTGACTGGCCATTGTGCGGATTGTTCTAGAATAATAAACAGTACCTAAGATGGAATTTGTGACGATAGTCTTTCTAATTGTATTTACTGTGTATACAATCACTGCACACATAGATATACATATATACATAAACTTGTCTCGGATTAAATTCTCCGTGAGCTTTAAAATCCCGTATTCATACTTACAATTATTCACTTTTAAGTATATTAATCGAGGCTGTACTTATTAGTATAGCTTTATCAACAAGATAATTTCTGTGGAAAACTTCGATAATTCATTTGGCTTTCTAGATTATTGAATAATAACCTCAAAAAGATTGGTTTTCATCTTCCTTTCTGCTGCAGATTTTGTCGCTCAGAGGAGGAATCTGTCGAACAAATTTTCTTACAACGTCGTTTTGTTAACAGTGTTTGGGACAGGTTAGAGAGAGTACTTTCCATGCCCGTCTCAATAAGGATAGCATTCGTCATCTATTTGACTCTGCTTTCAAGATAAGGATGAGTAAACAGGTGAAAAATTTATGGATCGCAGGAGTAATCTCAGTTTTCTGGCTTATTTGGAAGGGTGCGTAATCAGATTATTTTGGATGATGCATCTTTTTCGCTACAACAAGTCCTTCTGAAAGTGGATAATCTTGATTCTGAGACTACGGAAAACATTGTTACTGATTTAATGATTCTCAAAACTTTCAATGCTCCAAATAGAGTCTCTAAGGCGCCTCCATCATTGTTGAAGTGCAATGGTCTCTTCCCATTCCTGGTTGGATTAAAATTAATACTGATGGTGCTGCGAATGGATCGCCAAGGCTTACGGGTTGTGGTGGTATTTTCAGAACTCATCGGGGCTTTTGTAAGGGATGCTTTGCCAAGCCTCTAGGCATTTTATATGGTTATGAAACTGAGCTGGCAGGGGTAATTACTGCAGTTCATTGTGCCCAAAAATATGATTGGGATTGTCTTTTGTTCGAATGTGATTCTATTTATGTTGTCAACATGCTAAAAACCAGAAGTCTTCATGTGCCTTGGAAGTTTTTAGTTAGGAGCATGGTGGTTTACGGTTCCAGGTTTCTGCACGGCAAGTACGGCTAAAGACATAGCCGGTTTTTCCACGTAACGTTTTTATGATTAGTTTTTGTTTTTTATCATTTGTTAAGCCGACTGTCTGTAGTAATTATGTACTCTTTTTCCCTTTAGTCTTTTCCACATTGAGTTTTGACTAGAGGGTTTTTAACGAGGCATAATTGGAGTTTGTTCTCAAGATGAGTTTTGACTAGAGGGTTTTTAACGAGGCATAATTGGAGTTTGTTCTCAAGATGCGAGTTTAGGCTCAATTCTTTGCGACTAACCTCCGGCTTTTGTATTTTCCTTTGCCTTATTTTCAGGTTGTTTGCCTTTATTTTCCACTTCAGTTTTGTATTGGCTCTTTTGTAATTTTGCTTCTTTTTATTAATAATATTGAGTTGGAGGTTTGATATGGGATGAGCCTTTCAGATCGGTGCCAACTTAATTAGAATGTATTTAAAAGCTCTGATATCAGTTATCTCCTCTCTCAGTTTATCAAAAAAAAAAAAAGTTTTACACAGTAATTTTAGCTTGTTCTTTAATAGTTTACATCTTAAATGAAAAATTGAATATGTTTGATTTTTCCCCTTTTTTTTATCTTTAACTTGTCTATCTCTGCGTAATTAATCTCCTTGCAGCCTCTCTATATGTTAGTTAATTTACCTAGGCCAAAAAAAAAAATGACAGAAAAATTCTATTTTTCTCGACACTGAAGCATTAAATTTTAATTCAAATAAATTAATTTCAAGTTAATTTTTATGTATGAGCGTTATTGTTAACTCAATTATCACCCGTATTTTCTAAGGAAAAATGACGTTAAATTAATAGCTATGTAACAGCAGGTAAAGAATCTGACGTATAACGAACAAAACGACCAAAAGATCAGATGAAAGAATTTTATACGGTCCACCACCACAAGGCCCCACATGTGGGGCTAGCTTTTGCCACGTGAAGTAAAGGAGTTTCCACGCTGGCATTTGCAGCATCACTTGTAAGTTTATTCATCCTTTGCCTACCCTTCTCTCTCTCTCTCTTGCTTTTCCTTTTCATCAATCCATCTTTTGGTTCTTTTCCCCTTTTTGGGTTTATGCTTCTTCAGTTTAGTGATCTTCCTAATGATTTATTTTTTCCATTAAGTAGTTATTAACGTTACTAAATGTGGTTTATTAAAAATTAATGATCTTGGTGACAACTATTATACTACTCGAATTCAAGTGAAATTCAGTAAAATGACTCGTTAACTTACTAATACCCTATTTCTTTCTTTGAGAACAATTAAATTATCAATTATTAGCTCACAATATTACTGTTTAAATAGAAGAAAATCCTCTTTTTGCTGGAATTTTTGTAAAAGAGAAATTATTTATTGGTCGTGAGTAGAAACTGAAATATGTACAGGAATGATAATAGTACATATAACACTCCACGATCTATCGCCGTGATGCCAT